CCCGAGTAACTCCTCAACTCACCGAGTCACCTATGTAACTCGTCGAGTTCCTCAAGGTCCAGTAGACCGAAGACCCATGCAGCCTGAAAACCCCAATCCTTCACATAACTCACTTGGAAATCTTGAAAGCGGGTAAACCCTACTCAACTCGTCGAGTTTCCTAAGGGACTCGACGAGTTCCTTCAGTCTTTTTTGTGTTCAATCCTTTCCAATGAGATCCAAGGTCCCAAACTGCAGATCCAACCTCTCCTAGTCTAGTTACCATGTAAAGTTGCAAACTTTACGTGTATGCAAGGCCTCACAAGGCTAAAACACTAAACTAAGGTTCCTACAAGGTCTTAATGCATGGAAAGGGCCTATGTTGAATAAAGTGAACAACTTTATGTCATTGAAGGCCTAGAGGGACACAGATCTGGAACCATATCCTTGTGGCAAGTCCAAATTCGAAGGTGACACGCTTGTGGCACCAAAAGTGACCATTTACATCCAAGAAAATAGATCTAAGCAACTAAAGGTCAAGATAGTGACTTTATGCCTCAATATGGTCACCAATGCAAGGTAGATATCGGATCTACTGCTTCCCTCTTTGCTTTTTCTTCTTCAAACTCCAAAATCTTCACAAACACACCAAAACTCCCTCTTAAAAGCTCTCTTTCTCTCTCCAGAAGGTACAAGGCTCAAACTAGGGTTTCACTGGTTATAGGAACGATGGAAGAGGCTGCAAATGAGCCATACGTTCTTTAAATAGGGTACAAACCCCTGAAAATTAGGGTTTCTCGTTACAATGCCTACTCGTCGAGTCGAGGCCTTCCAACTCGTCTAGTTGGATCTGAATCCTGTGTCCTCATAAATGACTCTACTTGGCGATTTGGAGCTTCCCAACTCATCGAGTCCAAGCCAAAAACCCTAAGACTTGAAAATTTAAATAATACCTGGAACAGGTGTTATATATGATACATAAACCAAAATACACCAACACCGATTCCAAATCCCCCTACATAATCTGAAAGCAAAAACCTGATATTCGATTAAAATCCAAAAACCCCTACACCAGTTACAAACCAAAAACCCAAATTCCATTACCATCCAAACTTTCACAAGATACTTACTAATTAAAACAAAACCAAAAAAAGAACACCCATGAACAAAACATCAATTGGTAGTTCCACAGTTATGCATTCGCAATAGCAACCCTCTCTTCCAATCGATTCATTGATCTTATCAAACATGGAATCACCACCAATGCCCTAGCACATATAGGAGGGTCATACCATCGAAGGAACCCACATATTGTACGGTTCCATAATTACCTTCCAGGGTTACGATCCATCCATGAAGTGATCTTCATTCCCATATCTGCAAGTCACCATCTTTGAATGCGAAGCAATTGGATATTGTAAAGGGTGCAACGTGCGATGAACAGTGGAAGGGAGAAAAGAGATGATGATCGCAAATAAAGGGTTTGTCCAAAAATCAGACATGCAATCTTTCTTTTAAAGAGTGAAGGTTACAAGTGAAATGACAAAATTTCCCCTGTAATATAATATTGAAAAATGAGTTAATAGCTAAATGGTAACGAAGTGAGCAAGAAGGATTAAACATTAAAAGTTTTGAAACCATAAGGACCATCCGTGAGATTTTTTTTAATTAGGGACCAAACTTCAGATTTTGTGAAACCACAAAGACCATTTATGAAGTTAAGAGAAACGGTTTTTAACACCACCTTTAAATATATAGGGAAAAAATGCAAAAAATAGTCTCTGTGGTATGCATTTTTTTCTGAGGTTTAGTCCAAACCTCGACTTTTTTGGCTTCGTGATCCTTTTGAGCTAGTTTCATTGCAGATTTTGTCCATCGGTAAACTGAAATGACTATAATACCCTTGGCGTATTTATTTTTCATTTTTTTAAAATCTAATAGTTATTTTTTTTAATAGTTAAAAAATAAAATGACCTCTCTCTCTCTCTCTCTCTCTCTCTCTCTCTCTCTCTCTCTCTCCAAGAATCAAGTTGGTGTCATATTCTTCAACGCCACTTCTTCAAAACCCAACTTATATCATCTCCTCACCGGTCACCACCATCCCTCCTTCCAGCCACCACAAATCATCGACCAAAACCTAATCAAAAATCAAAATCACCCCACTTATTCCTGTTCCATTGCCTCCGGTAGAAAATCTACCGAACCCAGTCCACCACAACTAAACCTGCACTCTACTATCAAATCGCCGCCGGATCTACCCCCTACCGACAGATCGCCTCTTCACCCTTTCCACTCGTCGGTAAATGCTCCAACCTCCACTCTTTACTCGTCCTATTTCTACTCTCTACCGTTGCAAAATCCCTTATTCCCTTTACAAATCATGATTCTCTATTCTCTAGCCGGAGCTCTCAGGAAGGAGGAACCAGTTGGGGGGGTTTAACCCAGATGACGGTTTTAGGTAAATCAAACGTCCCAAATGCATGGAGGTAACTCGTTTCCTCCGCCACACATCCATATGCATAATTGATCTTTTTTTGTAGGATTTAGTTTTGATTTGTGGTTAAATTGAAATGTAAGGTTTTCATGTATGTATTTGAGTTGAGCATCGGTAGGGATGATTTCTTGATCCATCGGAAAACAAGTTTTTGCGATGATTTCAAATTGGTGGTGGTCAGATTTGATGGTGGCGAAAGCTACGGTGATGTTGGTATGCGATCGGGAGATTAGAGAGAGAGAGAGTGTGTGTGTGTGTGTGTATGTGTGTGTGTGAGAGAGAGAGAGAGAGAGAGAGAGACCTCTATTTTTTTAGTTATTAAAATAAATAAATAAATATTTATTTTTTAAAGATGAAAGAAAAATGAAAAATAAATACCCTAAGGGTACTATAGTCATTTCAGTTTACTGATGGACTAAATCTGTAACAAATCTAACTTAAAATGACCACGAAGCCAAAAAAATTGAGATTTGAACTAAACCTCAGAAAAAATACATATCACAAGGACCATTTTTACAGTTTTGTCAAATCTATATTACCATAACACCCTCCTCCAATGTAAGTTTATTACCTTTAATTTATTTCTAATAAAGTTAATTTCTAAAATATATGTGTTTGATTTTTATAAGATTAAATATTTTTTCGTATTTTCGCAAAATATTTATGTTTTCGCATGAACTTGTGTTGCGATATAATTTTTGAGAAATTAAATTACCTCCTACCTTTTATGCCTACAATTATTCATACCCTCTAAAATTATGATAAATTACTATTCAATTTTATTTTATTTGATATATTCATAATATAGTTTTAATGAGTTAGTTAAAAAAAATATGGAATGATGACATTTATCATAATTTTATTGTCATAATTTTATTGGGTAGGAACATTTGTAAGCATAAAAAATAAGAATCAATTTAATTTCTTATAATTTTTTAACCTAAAATGGGTATTTTTTTTTTCTAACACAAATTACAATTAAATGGTTAAACCTGTAAAAATGAAAAAATATAGTGCTCTATGTGTTATTAGCTCTTTCGTAAATCAAATAAACGTCACTAAGCTGTGCAAGCCTCTTTGATTCTTTAAAAAATACTATCATCTATACAAATCACAACAATGTTGTATCTTGATTTGGTTTCTATCATATAATTTTATTTTTGAAGGACTCCTAGTCTAAACTTGCTAACCAATTAGAATTAGTCAAGTCATTCTTGGATTTCTTCATGCCAATAAATCTCTCCTTCATAGCCAATTATAATTTGTCACACCATTCTTAAAATTTCTTTTATGCCAATAAATCTCTAAGTACCCTTAAAGTGCTCTCCATCTAGAAACAAATCACAATTACTTATCTTCTCATTTTGTAATTTAAAATGCATCATTTTATTTATTTATATATATATATATATATATATATATATATATATATATATATATATATATATATATATATATATATATATATATATATATATTAAGCGGCTTAAGTTTGGTTCAACCCGTACAAAAATCTAGCCACAAGACCTCATTCCAAAAGTCGCTAAAGCTAAAATAATTCATGAAATATCGTTTATAAGCCATTCCAAAACTTTTTGTACATTTTTCATAGATCTATATGTTTAACCACTACTAAATCGTAATTTAGGGGTGAGGACATGGTTGGATTCGGTTTTTTTACTAAATATTAATATAATAATCATTCTAAAAAAAATATATTGATACTCATTTGTGTAGTCCAATCGGTCTCAGTTTCATATCGGTCCTCAATGGCAACTTATCTGAACGTACCATTTACGTAAATTTGACACAAAAAAAAAAAAGTTTTTATGCTAGATATGAATGATGTGGCCAAGTTATGTCCTCTTTCAATATATGATAATGAATACTCAAGTTGAGATACAAGTAGTGAATAACGAGCTTCTATTGCAAGGCCATCAACTTATCAAACCACTTCTTCGAGATCACCTAGTTTCATGAGTATCAGCACCTCATGATTTAATGGCATTCAATCAGAATGTTCGAGAGTTCAAACGTATTTAGACAAAATTTCAATTTATAAAGGAACAAACTACACTTGTAATGTAATTGCCGAATAATTAATACAACTTAATATTTTAAAATGGCGGCAAGAAATATAACGTTTGATTCAATATCTTTCATCAATGGCTAAGGATGAACATCTTCCATGCGAGTAGAGATGATACAGTAAGTAAATATGAGGATTATGTGATACAGTAACATGTAGAATGGATCAAAATAGAAATAGTCGAAATATTATATTTCAATACAATTAAGATTTCTTGCATATTTTTTCGATTTAGTCTATATATCTTTGGAAATAAAAACACACACGAAATTAGTGCTTTTCTTCTTAAATATGGTTTGAAGTTTGAACTGGGCTTTTTTGGACCTATTCGGGCGGCCAAACCGGTTTTTTTCTTAATGAATTAAAAGTACGCATTTTTTGTAAAATTATTTTATTTTATTTTCTCTAAAGAGTTATATTTACATAAAATCTGAACAAGCCAGAATACCGAATTTCATTTTACAACACTAAACGAATGATGTTCTTTTGCTATATAATATATTGAAAACATTTCATTTACATATTATTCAGAACAAATGCACACTTAGCAATAATCTGAAAACTCAAAACTTTAAGCCTGACTATATATATAACAAACAAAATGAAAATAAATTTCTTTTAATATCTGATGTAAAATGTTAAGGTATACCTTGTGTATGTATGTATGTTATTCACAAGCTTTGCATTTCTTAATTACTTTCAAAGCTAGCACCCTCCCCTGCATGATATCGAAATCAACAGCGATGCTAATTAATTAACATGCATACATATCTTCAAAAGTTTTTCTAACTTACCAGGGGTAATTTTGTCATTTTTACGACAAAAAGTCCTCATCTATCAAATCATTTAGTTGGTCGACATCTCTTTCTCAATTCTTGAGGTCGTTTCTGGCATTTCCTCATTAGAGTCTAGAGACTCCAAGTCATCACCTAGCGAAAACTGAGATGTTTCACCAGATTCTTGATCTGTCAAGGGTATTTTTGGTATTTCATCGCTAGAGTCTAACGTAAGGCGTTCTTGATCACTTTTTACAGTTGGTTTTTGGTGTAAGGTTTCGTCGTCAAAGACCAAAGCGGGATTTGATGCATCTTTTTCAGTCTGATACTCAAATGTTTTTCTTTCATTGGTTGAAAAAGGAGAGTTTTCTGGGGAGGCGCCTAAGGGTATATATGGTTTTTGTCTAGGAGACTTGATCAACAATTTCTGAGCAAAAATGGATTTAAAATCCGGCATGACACGTATAGGAGGTGGAACCATAACTCCTTCAGGGCCTCCTGTTGTTGGGGTGTGTTCACCCTCGGTTACTTTCTCGATACTTAGATTTGGTCTTTTTATGATTTTGAAGTCGATTTTTAACTTTTCAATTGCTTCTAATAACTCCGTGATCACTTCAACACCTTTCCTGACAACATATGATTGGAATTAACAATCTCCTAAGGAAGGATTCACCCGATTTTATCTTTCTTACCTAGAAGGATCATCGATTGTAGTGTAGAAATGGTCTTTAATGCTTTCCACTGCATCAAAGATGTTTATAACCTTGACTTCTGCATCAAGATATTCCTGCTCAACATTTTCCCTTTTCTTGATATCTTGCAAGAACTCTTCATCTGGATCGATTATTTTCCGAAACCTACCACACACCAAAACTCTAAGGAACAATATAGTGTATTTGTTTTAAACAATTTTTCCTCCAATATACTTCTAATGGACAAAGGAAGTATATATATATATATATATATATATATATATATATATATATATATATATATATATATATATATATATATATATATATATATAATGTACCCTTTCAAGCTCTCCTCAAGCTTCCTCACATTGGCAATAGCAGGTGGCAGTTGATCCTGATAAGTGAGATATAATTATTTACTGAATGGTTGAATATAGTCAATGTAATAAGATTCAAAGTACCTTGTAAGCAGATAAGAAACTAATAGTTGTATTTACAAAATATACTTCATGATCCTGCAATTGATCACTTCAACATGCCAGAATATATTATCATAAGCACAAAGTTAATCAGATAATAAATGATTGAATAAGAGAATTTATCTCATTCAATATTAATAAATTTGACATACTTGACCAGTTTGTCCCTTTCTTCCACATATGAGGACTGGAAAGCCCAAGTAGCTTCTAGAAAGTTAACAAATGCATGACAAGTATCCGCTTCAGCTCTATATGAAACAATTGTATTTGAGAGTTCATCCTCCTATAGTCATAATAATATCATTAATATAAGCATATCTAGATGAGTAGAAGAAAATATCCTAAATGTGATGAGTAGAAGAAAAGAAAATCTAACCTTTTCCTTTAAGAGTAGAATAAAATCATTGTTATCTTCATCAAACTGGAACCTTTCTTCCCTGGCATGTTGGAGACGAGCATATGCAACCGACAATGTGCTATTAACCTAAAATGGAAATCTAATCAGACAAAACATTGTGATAATGATTCTTAATTTTTTTTTTCTTAATGTGTATTTCAAAAAACAGATTCAAAACAATGACTTTGAGGAACTCATTGAGCAGGAAGGAGATTACCTCTCTCAATTCAGCTTCAATTTTGTCTCTTTGCTTTTCAAGCTCACTAATTTCAGCTCCCAACTCCTGAAAAATGTGCTAATCTTCAAATTAAGTTTAAAAAAAAATATAAGTAAACTTCCAAAATGCCATCAAACCTTCTCAATTTGGCTGACTTCATTGCTTCTAGCTACACGAAAAGTAAGGGCTTCGTTTTTCTCTTCCCTACCAACACATCAAGAAAAATACAGTTGTATAAATTAAATACAAAGTCAAAAGAAATGATAAAATAATTACTTACCTCTGCTCCAAAATTCGCTTTTCTGTTTTGGAGGCTGAGTTATGAAGAGATTCTACTAGAACTTTTAATATATCAACCTGTATAATAATTACACAATCATACAAAATATAATTAAATTAATCATTTAATAAACTAGATGAACCATACTTTCTGAGCATGAGTCTCTATTGTATCCCCGTATCTCAACAATTGTTTCTTCAGTAAAAGTGACTTCAATCTGCAGCACAACTGAATATGTGTAACAGGTTCTTCAATTTCCTGCATCAGAACAGGTGTGTTTTTTCACATATGGTTTCCTTCTATTAGGGTCTATTGCTTTATTGATTTCATCAACAACTTAACCATTAATGATGCAGTGTTTGTTGCCTCAGAAGAATTGCATTTCATGCTATTCAATCGTTGATGTATTTGTGAGATTTCAAAATCTATTCTGAGGGCAGATCACACAACAAAGAATAGATATAATATAAAAATTAGCTTAAAAACAAGAAACTCAGCTGATTTTTTTACAGTTTTAGACTCTTGCCTCACCTACCGTGCTATGTCACCAGTTTCTTTAAGCCCAGTGATTGCAGTTTGCGCAAACTGAAGTAATTCTTCCCTTCTTACCTGTGAAACAAGTTGTGGGGCATACAAAAGTCAACTCTGTAGATTCTCCAAAATCAAAAGTTTTGAAGTGATGATATTATTATTATTACTATTATTATTACTATTATTATTACCAGCATTTCAACATCGTAAAGTGAGAATGCTTTTGCCAGATCTTGAATATTTTTCACAACTACATCATGGACTTCCCTCCCTCCTACTAGACACAATCTACACAATATGAAGAAAAATGAGAAGATGAAAAAGAAACAAAAGAAAATAATCAGAATAATGAGAGAATTGTTACCCGAATATTTCGTGGATTAACAAAATTTCCTCCTCATTTGGTGCTCCAAGAATCTGATTCAGACAAAAGAGTGAACCTGCGGTTAAACTCCATGAATCAGCAAATACAAAACAATTGATATATAAATTCAGTGGATTAGAGACAAGCATAAAGATGGGACCTTATAATGAATTATGGGAATTTTGTATGGAAACAGTAGTAGAGCATGCAACCGAATCACTATACTTTCAAAATCGTTTCACTTAGGTCATTTGATACAAACAGTTTGACTTTCTGTAGTTATTTCATCAACATTTTGGTTTAATACAACAAAACTAAACCGTTTGCAAAAGCATTACTTAGAAATCAACAAAATACAACAATCATCCCTACACATGTGCAAACATACTTTTTAAAGTTTTCATTAATATGATAATATCTTTGCAAATGATTTAGTATTGCTGTATTCTGTTATTTTTTATTAATAAACTTTGCAAATAGTTTAGTATTGTGAGTCTGTGACATTAAACCAAAGTGTTAATCAGATGAATCAAGAAAGTCTAACAGTTTTAACTAAATGACTTAAGTGAGATTTTTTTTAAAAGTACATTGATTAGGTATGTATAAAAATAAGCAGTGACCTAAGTGGGCCAAATCAGAAAATATGTTGCTATTTTATGACCTTATCCCACATTTAAATTAGCATGATTTAGAATTTGTAAAAGACTGATGGCATAGTCGCATAGATTGACCATATAATTAAACAAATCAAGGAATTTGTAGTTCCACTCCATAGCTTCAGCTACCAAAATTAAGGGACTTTTGGGTGTTTTTCTTGTATTTTGTTAAAATTATGATGTGAAAGTTTTCTAAGAACATGAAGGCACCACAAGAAGCCTTCTCTAAAACCATCATTGAATTGTCTAATTAAAAGTGCATCATGAATGAACACAATAAAGAGAAAAAGATAAACCATACATTTCATCAATAAACTGTACATAAAAACAAATAACAGTTGGTTGTTTTTCATGGACTTATACTTACCATAGACACTGTCATGCCTTCAAGAGCTTGACTCTGAAGAAAAACATCACGGAAATTCATAGGTGAGCTACCAAGATCAGGGTCATAATATAGAATCTGTTAAAAGAGGAAAGAAATAAAATGATAGATATGTCCATCAAGAAAATAAACTGTTCTGGTAAAAAAAATCTAACATACAAAATGACACAAATACACGCCTGAATGCAGTGGTAACACAATGAAAACTATAGGATATCAGAAACTGGATCCTCTTTTCTCACTTACCATAGTTGATTTTCCAGGAGTAACATTCTTATCGCTTGGTGAACTAGGATCCTCAGAACTTTTCCCATCAATCTCAACAAGACTTCCATCTAGTTTTTCAAATTCTCTTAGAGAAACTAACCACCTTCTTAGCAACTGAACTCTATCTTCCCGTTTACAAGAAACAGAAGCTTCTTCAAGCCTTCTAGCTGCTTCACTAAAGCTTTTCATGTTCCGAGAAGCCTGATTTTTGATAATGAACAGTGTTATATCCTTTCATGAAGTGATCATTCAAACTATTGGGGGAAAATATATCTAGACATAATACAATTTTTATGAGCACCAACTATCAATAGCCACAATGTAAAGTTGTAGAACGTTTAACTCAAGTGCTTTCATGGTGCTTAGAATGATGCCTAGAGGATTATCAGATGTTAGAATCGAATTGCATCTACTTTCCAGAAATTCTATTCAAACGCAACCGTTAAGATGCCTATTACAACAATCAGATTCACGCAGTTCGTTTATTAATAGAGATTTGGAGTTGCTTACGCCTGAATATAAAAAATATTATATTCCCCTGAATTTTTATGTTTCTATGAAAAAGGTATATTTACATATAAGAAACACAACAAATTCATTCCAGCATGCACGAGTGTCTAAGGAAGAGGAAATAGGTCAGTAGGTACAATGCGATCTTGAAAAATTCTGGCGGCACCGGAAACAGAATAGCCGGCGTGTTGGACGAAGGAATCGGCGTAAGTACGGACAGCGGCTTTTAATATGGCGCCGCCGGGTACTTCGGCAGCTTTGTTCATCGCCGATCTTATCCATGACATCAACACAACCTTCTACCACCTCAATCAAAATGCGAAGGAGAAAATACTGCAATTTTGGTGGATTAACAGGAGGATGACGGAAGAGAATGGCGGAATTTCTTTTGTCGATTAAAAAACGGGAAAAATGTTTTGGGAATTTTGTTTAACGTTTTGTACGTTCGTACGGCTCGTTTGCCTTCAATTTCGGTTTCATTTTATTAATTTACCGATTTGCCACTCCCCATTACCAACGTCCAACGGCCGGGCCATTCAAAACTCGGAAAATATGGGATCATGGGATCACAAAGATAAAACGTATTTTATATTTTTTTTTCATAAAACCGACTGATTCTCGTTCGTAGGCTATAGAGTACAATAAATAGGCTAGACCCGAATACAACAGTGGGCCGATCCAATAGAAGACCTATGGGTATACATATGCTCTAGTAGTTTGGGCTAGAGGAAAACGTTTAAATTGGAATAAAAATATTTGAATAAAAAGGACATATGTGACATATATATAACACTAGTGAATTCGGTTACATGTTTTAATATTTAAATAGATGGAATATTCAATTAAATGTAACGATTAATTTTTATCAAATAATTAAATACAGTTTATAATATTTTATGGGTCTAATTAATATAAAAAGTGTGTATTTGAAATCAAATTAATTAAGGGTGTTAAATGTTATAAGTAGCAATTAGGTCTTCTTAAACATCAAAATAACATATTTACCTAACTTAATTTCTTAATATTATATTTATCATTTATAATCTTCAGAATATCATATTTTCCCAAAAAAAAATTGTAATATTTTTAATAGTTTATAATCATTTTTATATTTTAGAATTATTATAACAATTAAAAATTTTAACCATATTATTCATACATCTATAAAAATGAAACTTTTATTTTTAAATTGTTGGAATGTTGCGCTTTTGACAAACAAAACTTTTTCATCTTCAATCCTCTACATGGAATGTATGTCTTGATTGGTTTAGCTTTTGTTCTTATCGAATATTGTCATGTTGGAGATGAAGGATAGTTTATATATTATTATTGGTATTTTGATGTTTAAGAATGGTATACATGATATTCTAATATTTAAGAAGAGCACATATGATATTTTGATGTTTAAGGATATATAAGATAGTTTAAAATTTTATGAAGTGTAAATAAGATATTTAGAAATTAAGTTTGGTAAATATGATATGTTGATGTTTAATAAGGATATATACGAAATGTTGAGGGAATGAATGTACTAATAGACAAACATTTTAAGAATATGATAGATTATATCAATAGAACACTTCATAGGGACCAAAAATGTAAAGTTGGTATTTGAATTAGATTTGCATGCAAGAATTACGGATTTGCGGGATTTATTCTGATCCTCACCCCGATACGTACGCAATCCGTATCCGTCCCCTATATATACAACCCTCCATGTATATATATACGTAAGATACAAGCCATAAAAGAGTGAACCTGAATATCGATGAGTTGTGCATGTATGAGATTATAATTAAGGAGGGATGCATGATGGATGAAGAGCTTGTAACGTGAATAGGTATCATTCTTCTTAATTGCCAATTGTTTATTACTGTATTCGACATACACACGCATATAATAACTTAGCGTGCATCAAAACGTACAGAAAAACAAAAGGAACTTGGTGTTGTGAATCTTGAGGACGCAACACACAAGGGATTCATGAGGCTTTACAACTTTGATATTACTATCAACATCATGAAGTTGATATGCAGGAGGCTTATAATGGCTTTGCCATTTAGTTCTTTAAATAATAAGTAATCTAATTAATTAATTAGGTTAAAATATTTATGATATGAATACTATATACCAGAAGGAAAAACGGTTTAATTATTTTTTACAAAGTTATATTTCCATCTGAATACAACTGATTCTATGCATCCTTGGGTATCAGGAATACTGATGAGGTTAGTTACAGGAAAACAGGGATTCCAATGGTTAAAATCTTTATAATTAGCCCTAAAGTATAAATATACGTTTTCCTCTGATTTTCTTTTGAAATAAAATAACACTTATTCTGTGTTTTTTTCCTCCTTTAGTCTGAATAATTTTTGTTTGAAACGGCAGGGTGAAAATGGAATAATGAAATATCAAATATATAAGTATAAGTAATAAGTAATGCCTTCCCTAGTTTATTTGAAATTGCCAATTTAAGAAATTTATAAGCGAATTAAGCGATATGATTTTAACAATTTCTTCTAGAGTTGCATCAACTAGAGTCGATTTACAAACGAAAACTGACCAATAGGTTTCATGAATCAAAGCTTGACCCTATGTGGCATAACTACACCATTAACACAGTAGTGATTGATCAAGACAAAAAAAACTAGAATAGCTTGATTCGATAGCAAACAAAAAGGTATCATGGCATGGCTACTCGACATCTGGCAATGGCACTCTCCAGTAATTCCATGAGTTAAAATCTTCCTGTTCAATCATGGATGTTGGGGGAAACATGTCGTTGACTAATGTGTGCAAAGATGTGTAAGACTTCCCCTTCATGTCCATACGATGACTAATCGCCACCTCACCCTACAATTTTAATCAAAAATTATAGACTAGAAAAAAAAAAAAAAACATAAATAGCGAGATTTTGAAGGACAACTAATTTGAGGAAAACAAATAAATAAATACCTTAGGGTTGATTATGAAGATTTTGCCCTTTGGAATTCCTATTTTCCTGTAACTGAGTTCATCAGTATCTCTGTTACCGAACCCTGCATAGAATGGGTTGTAGTCGGATGGAAACAGAGCTTTGATATCCTGTAAAAAGTATTTTACATTTAATCCGTTTGTTTTTTTATGCATAATTAATCAAAAATATCTTATTTTTTGATCCGTTGTACTTACTTCTAAGCAGGCGATCTTGAATTCATGAGGAGCTCTTCTAATAACTGTCACAAAGAGGATACAAAAAGGCATTACAATTAGATATAACTAAATGGATACTTATGCTATATGATTTTGTTTATAATCCATGAAGAAAATTTTGCACAAAAAAAAAAAAAAGTGTCTCACCTTCACGAAACAAGGATGGAAACAAACCATCGGGTGAAATAACAACAGGACCATTGGGTAAGGCTTTACCATCCTACAAAAATAAAACATGCCAAATAATTGTAACTCAAAAAAGAAAAATACCAATCCACTTTTTCATTTGTCTCATCCACGTCACTTTAACTTTTTACAAAAAAAAAAAAAAAAAACTTTCTACTCAAATCTGGTCATTTTTAACTGGTAATTTAATTTTTGGTGACATAACATGACATGTATTTGACACATCATAAAAAGTTAAAGTAATAAACATTGTACTTTTTTCATTTGTCCCTTGTAGTTGCAAAAAGTAGATTTAGATTTAGTACCTGCTTTAGATTAAGGAGAAAACTTCTGGTCAAATACGCTTGAACAATTGCACGAGCACTTAGAAACAACAATTGATATCCATTCTCCTGCATGTTACAAATACAAGAAAAAACCAAATATTTCAATTTCCCATCTTTATATACTTTATACATTAAAATTACATTTTTGGTCCCTTAGCATAGCTGATTTTTTCAATTTTGTCCCAAAAATTCTCGTGCAATTTCAGTCCTTGAATAAAGTTTATGTAACATTGTTGGTCCCTATTCCGAGTAAAATAATACACTTTTGGACCGGTATTGCAAACACGGACCAAAAATAGTCATTTTACTTGGAACTAGAGCAAAAAACATTACAAGAATTTCAAATAAGGACAAGAATTGCAAGAGAGCTTTTGGGGACCAAATTTGCAAAAATTAGCTATACGCAGGGACCGAAAATGTAATTTACTATATCTTATATTGATACATCAAACAAATTACAATACCTTTATAGCAGAAAACAATCGAGCTACCCCAGATTGAGTCCAATCCTTCCCAACTAATGGCATAAATTGACCAAGAACATCCGATCTACAACACAAACATACAAAAAAAAAAATCAATAAAAAGATTATATTATTATAATATAAAACTTTTGGTTTAAAAAATATAACGAATAGAGACACAATCGATCTTACTTTGTAATTGTCCCATCAACATCCGATATCACAATCCTTGCATTCCACTTCCATAAGTAAATATGAGCATCGACTTTTTGAACTCCTAAAACCCTAGTTGAAAAAATAAACGACACCATGTTTTGGCCATCTTTTAAATTCAAAGATGATATTTGCTCAGTAGTGGGAACTTGTGTTCTAGCAAACTGTTTCTGAGGAGACTTTGAAGATGTTGGAGTCGTTTCCACTGGTTGAGTAGTAGGGGAATCAAACACGGATTCGGAATCAAGAAACACATCTTCACCGGAAAGATTACTAGCATTATGGTCAAGTGTTTTCACCCTCCGGAATGGAATCGGCCAAAGCCGCCATCTACGGGATGGAGTCGAAGGTAGACCGGAATCCTCCACCGGAATGGAATCATTCGGGTCAACGGCCATTTCTAATCCGTATGCAGCCATTCCAAGAACAATGTGAGCAGCTTTCTCCCATGTGAAGTATTTATCATCGATTTTTACTATTAAACTGTCGTTTTTAATAATTGATGTGGCAGAATTTTGAAATTCCTCTGAGGGTATTCGATGGGCATTGAAGGTTGCTGCAGCTGTACTCAATCCCATTCCTGGACGAAGCAAATTCCCACATAGAGATAATTCTATTCCTGAAAATATTGATTAAAGGTGATATGTATTAAAGAAGACAAGAAAAAAGTTTGTATTGAAGAAAATAAAAGTAGGATTCTATAACAAACAAATCACTTACTCGTTTGTTTCGGGCCTTCAAAATTTTCATTATCATCAGAATATGATTGAGGCTCCTCGGTTTCATCTCCCTTATCTTCAATCATTTCAGATTCTTCCTGATTTTTATCACTAACAATTGCCACATCAGAAAGATTCTCTTCCATGTCCAACAAATTCACCCCTGTAGAATTGGTTTCAGTTCTTTCAACCCCTTCAGGTTCACTAATTACACCAAATGGTCCCTTTGGATCTTTATCACCAACAATTGCAACATCAGAAAGCTTCTGTTCATTTTGCAGTGAATTTGAATTCACCCCTGGAGAATCGATTTCAGATCTTTCAACCCCTTCAGG